TTTATCTCTTCGCCCTTTTCCTGTTTTGTCTCTTACCCTCATAGAGGGAGTCCTCTGTCAACACAACGAACAATGCAGGCTCTTGTGACTAACTATGGCTCCAATGAGAATGTGCTTTCAAACATTATTGCCTTTGTAGACCTTAATCCGTGCAACTCGAGGAAATTTTCCATTGATCCTAGCACTTGCCTGACTTCCGGGAAAATATACAGAACTGAATATGTGAGGTCAGACTCATGTGAGCATCCCGCTTCACAAGAAAAGTTTTCATATTTGCTTGAGTTTGCTGTTTTAGTGGTTTCCTCATTGTGTCTCTCACTAATGAACTCTTTAAGACAGTGGTTCTCAACCTTCTTAATGCAGCAACCCCTTAATACAGTGCCTCATATTGTGGTGACCCCCAACCAGAGGGGCCCTAGGTAATTTTCAATGGTAAGCAAACAATATTTTGCCCCCCCCCCCACCCAACCAATCACTGATATATATATTTTCTGTTCGTTGTGGGAGTTCTGTGTGCCATATTTGGTTCAATTCCATCATTGGTGGAGTTCAGAATGCTCTTTGATTGTAGGTGAACTATACATCTCAGTAACTACAACTCGCATATGTCAAGGCCTATTTTCCCCCAAGAGCGCCCCTGGGCAAAATCAACTATACTGCAAATGCTTACTTTGCGTAATGGGTTGAGCCGCCCCTTCCCCCACCCATAAAATTATTATTATTGCTATTTGCTAATTGTAATTCTGTTACTCTTATGAATCATAATGTAAATATCTGAAATGCAGATATTTACATTATATGTACATACAATATATTATATTATTAGCATGGCATGACAGAATAGAATCAGAGTTGAAAGAGACCTTGTGGGCCATCAAGTCCAACCCCATTCTGCCCAGAAGCAGGAAAATCGCATTCAAAGCACCCCTGACAAATGGCCATTTAGCCAATGTGTATAAAGCCTCCAAAGAAGGAGCCTCCACCACACTCCGGGGCAGAGAGTTCCACTGCTGAACAGCTCTCACAGTCAGGAAGTTCTTCCTCATGTTCAGGTGGAAATTCTTCCTTAAGTTTAATCCCATAGTTTCACTGCATTCTAGGATTCATTGCCTTGGTGTAGTTTAGATTTACCAGACTTGTAAATCCCAAAATGTTCAAAGGATTCCAGGTTGAAAAAAAAGAGATTTTTACCTTGCCTCTCCCTTAACCCTTTCCTACCCTTTCCTATGGCACACAGCAAACAGGAAGGTCCTGGAAACGGCAGAATTTTCCAACCCGCCCTAATCATTGGAGACTTCTGGAAGCTGTAGTCCAGGAAAGTACAATTTTTGAAGTTGTATTTATTATTATTTATTTATTTAAAACTTTTATATCCCCATCTTCTCCACCTCCATAGAGGGACTCAGACTGGCTGACAGCAATAATTCAATGCTAACAATAAAAATCTAAAACATCATATATCAACAGTAAAATTAACAAATACATATACAATAAATTGGAAAATAAGTTTTCCAATTTGCAAGATTTTATGTTAGTTCTGTCTGGATATGTTCGGCGAATGCCTGTACTTCGTAAAGAGGCCTTGCTTTATTTCCTGTGGGTTTTCTTTGTCGTCTTATCATTCACACTTTCCATTCCCGATCTTATCTAAGTGTTGTACAATGTAAACCTCCTTCTTTTGTGCATTATCTGCAAAGATTGCTCAAGTTTACGGCAACACACACCTTCTTACTCAATGATTTTATGCCTGGTTTTATGTCTAATCCAGTACAGGGTCAGTGGACATTTATAGTTGTGACAACCCTTTTATGGAGTGATGCCCTTCTTTGAGGCGCAGTTGCCATTGCTGTTGGCTTCATGCCATTTAAAGTTTAAATTGCATTTTAACTGGCTTGTTTTCATATCCATTCCAGTTTAATTCCATTTTTAGTATTTTTTTTTAAATTGAGAGCTGCTTTGGGTCTTGGTTTCCCAAGATAAACGCGGGATATAAATAAATAAATATAGAAATCATAATTTAAAACATTCCTTTTATTATATACTAGCTGTCCCCTGCCACATGTTGTGTGGCCCAGTCTGTTGATCTGGAAAATAAAGTAATGAGAAAGTGTTGGCCCGCTCATTGTTATGTTATTTTATTTTACTGTGTATGAATTTGCTTTATCATCTTTGTACTCGTATGTTGTATGTATTTTATTGTGTTGTTATTGTGTTTTGGTTTTACTTTATTGTAATATGCATTGGGCTTGGCCTCATGTAAGCCGCCCTGAGTCCCCATTGGGGAGATGGTGGCAGGGTATTAAATAAAGATTATTATTATTATTATTATTATTATTATTATTATTATTATTATTGGTTTCTAATATATGCAGTGTCTTGATGCTTGTAGGTGAACAGTATTTCTTGCTGCTTCTTTGTCAATGTTGATGTGGAGAGTGTCTGGTTTGCCCACCCTGGAACATGCAACCTATCATTGTCCTTCTTCAGGGGTCCCTTTCAAATCTATGATACTATATCTGTGTGTGTGAATCATATCTATCTATCTGTATCAGTGGTTCTCCACCTGGGGTCCCCAGATGTTTTTGGCCTTCAACTCCCAGAAATCCTAACAGCTGGTAAACTGGCTGGGATTTCTGGGAGTTGTAGGCCAAAAACATTTGAGGACCCCAGGTTGAGAACCACTGATCTATATCTATGGCTGGATGGCTCTCTGTCAGGAGGGCTTTGATTACGTTTTCTTGCCCTGATGAAGGGAGTTGGATTGGATGGCCTTAAGTATTTTCTGCTGGTCATGGGGGTTCTGTGTGGGGGAAGTTTGCCCCGATTCTGTCGTACGTGGGGTTCAGAATGCTCTTTGATTGTAGGTGAACTATAAATCCCAGCAACTACAACTCCCAAACGTCAAGGTAGATTTTCCCCAAACTCCACCAGTGTTCATATTTGGGCATATTGAGTATTTGTGCCAAGTTTGGTCCAGATCCATCGTTGTTTGAGTCCACAGTGCTCTCTGGATGTAAGTGGACTACAACTCCAACACTCAAAATCAATGCCCACCAAACCAACAGTATTTTCTGTTGGCCATGGTAGTTCTCTGTGCCAAGTTTGGTTCAATTCCATCATTGGTGGGGCTCAGAATGCCCTTTGATTGTAGATGAACCATAAAACCCAGCAACTATAACTCCTAAATGACAAAAACAACCCCCCCCCCCCAACCTTACCATTATTCAAATTCGGATGTATTGCATATTTGTTCCAAATGTGGTCCAGTGAATGAAAATACATCCTGCACTTTTAACATTACGATTCATAACAGCAGCAAAATCATAGTTATGAGGTAGCAATGAAAATAATGTTATGGGTGGTGGTCACCACAACATGAGGAACTGTATTCAGGGGTCGCGGCATTAGGAAGGTTGAGAAACACTGATATGTAGCCTTTGGGAGCCTCATGATATTATCCAGTTTGTATACAGTTCTATAACTTTGACGTGGTTTTATTTTTCTATTTAGTCTATACGCATCTTTGAGTAACATGTTTCCTGAAACACGTCAAACTGTGGAGTTTTATTATATATGCTTGTATAAAATAAAGTGCTTTTACAGTGTCATTGAAAACACAGATAGAAAACATACACATCATCATTTATCCCACCTTTTCCCCAGATCAGGAGTCAAAGTGGCTTGCAACAATTACAAAATTGATATTGTTAAAAATCCACAAGCTACAAAAGTTAAAACAAGTTTGAACAATAGAAAAATTACAATCATGTTAAAACATACATCACTGAAAGTTATAGACCAGGTATAGGTAAACCCAGGCCCAGGAGCCGGATGTGGCCCCTTGGGCTCTCTTCTCAGGCCAACCTCTCTCTCATCAACCCTTCCTTCCTTCCTTCCTTCCTTCCTTCCTTCCTTCCTTCCTTCCTTCCTTCCTTCCTTCCCTCCTTTTTCCTTCCTTCCTCCCTTCCCTCCTCCTTCCTTCCTCCCCCTCCTTCCTTTCTTCCTTCCTCCTCCTTCCTTCCCTCTTCCTTCCTCTCCTTCCTTCCCTTCCTTCCTTCCTGCCCTCCTTCCTTCCTCCTTCCTTCCTTCCTTCCTTCCTTCCCTTTCCTCCCGCCCTCCCTTCCCTCCTTTTGTCTGTCTCCATTCCCTTCTACCGTTTCGTCCTTCCTGCCTTCTCTTTCCTTTCCTCTTTCCTTCCATCTTCTTTCCTTCCTCTTTCCCTCCTTCCCTCATTCTCCTTCCTTCCTTCCACCTTTCATCCTTCCTTCCCTCTCTCCTCTTTCTCCTTCCTTCCTTCCCTTCCTTCTCTTTCCTCCTCCCTCTCCCTCCCTTTTCCCTCCATTTCCCTTTCACCCTTTCTTCCTTCTCTCTTTCATTCCTCCTTCCTTCCCTCCATTTCTTCCTCCTTCCCTCCCTTCCCTTCTTCAATCCTTCCCTTCCTCTCCTCCCTTCCTTCCTTCCTTCTCCCCTTCCTCCCTTCCTTCCCTCTTTTTCCTCTCCCTTCCCTTCTCCTTTTCCTTCCCTCCTCTCTCTTTCCTTCCCTCCTTCTCTTCCTTCCTTCCTTCCTCCCTCCTTCTCCTTTTCCTTCCTTCCCCTTCCCTCTTCTCTCCCTCCTTCCCTCCCTCCTCTTTCTCCTTCCCTCCTTCCTTCCCTTCCTTCCCTTTTCCTTTTCTTCCCTTTCTCTTTCCTCTCCCTCTCCATCTCTCATTCCTTCCTCTTTCATCTCCTTCTTCTCTCTTCCCTCCTCCCCTCCCTTCCCTCCTCTTCTTCCTCCACCCCTTTCGTCATTCTTTCCTTCCCCTTCCTCCCTCCTTTCTCCTCCTCCTTCCCTTCTTTCCTTCCTTCCTCCTTCCTTCCTTCCTTCCTTCCTTCCTTCCTTCCTTTCTTCCTCTTCTCTTCATTCCCTTTCTTTCTTCCTCCGCTTTTTCCTTCCTCCTTCCTTATATCCTTCCCTCCCTGTTGCCTTTCCTTCTTCCTTTCCTCCCTCCTTTCCTCCCTCCTTTCCTCCCTCCCTTCCGCCTTCCATCCTTGCATTCCACCCTTTTGCCCAGGCCTCTTATAGACGAAGCACATCAGGACAAGAATGAACAATTAAAATGGACACCACTGAAAATAAGGTAGTAACAATGAAAATATAGAAAAATAATTACTGGCATATAGTATTATTCCTGAATCTGCAGGACCAATTCCGTCTGTTGTCGATTATCTACATTCAACAAAATCTGTCCTCTTTAGGCATTTTCTAGATCCTCCAGTGCAATTCTATAGGATTCTTGAGCAAGAAGGGTTCACTATTATCCATGGCTTCGCTTATCCACAGTAAGTCCAGGAACGTGTTTCTTGTGGATACAAGGTTTGTATTATTTAAGTGCTTATAAACTCTGTTTTTTAGCAACCAAAATGCCCAGAGTATCTTACAAAATAATATTTGAAAATATACAATTAATTTAAGGATTCCCTGTGTTTTTATGGGTTCAGTTCTTATAACTTTTAACAGGCACTTGATGCAGAAATTGAATTAAAATCTTTCATTTCTCCTGCAGGCTTGGGAAAAAGATATCACTCACTCGAATAGGAAATCTATATTTCAAAGGTGAGGACTAGATCTAGTTCCAACAAGCTTCCAATAAAAGAGACACTTTTCTTTCTCTCCTTTAAATCACTCCTTTCCTTCACCTTTTTGGTTCCATCGGGTTCCAAATGAATTCACCCAAGAGCTCAAATAACCATTCCGGAGCCTCCTTTTCTGCTAAAAAACGGAGAAATTGAGGATTTTCTTCACTTTTCGCCTGCAAAGTGGGCATTGTCTGCTGGTTTTGAGGACCTTTAAAGAGCAGTCGGAGCAAAAGTTGGCATGTGAGCATGGCAGCATCATGGCGCTGGACTCATGCTCCAAGCAAATGACGCATTCGTTGTGGCTTTGTTTTTCTGAAAGATGAGAAAAGTCACGGCAGTTCGACTCTGGAAAAATAAGAAATGTTTTGAATGGAAAACCAAGGCTCATTGGATGCAATATTTCACAGATGAAGACAGTTACAGGGCAGCAATTAGGGACTCATTGTTCTCAGAGTGAGTTGTTGCTGCTTCCTGTTTAACCTATATAAGCCACACACTCACGCACTCACTAACCTACACTTTCACCCCTGCATACAGACAACAACATAAAACACACACTAAAGGGGAGGTAATTAGCAGCCTGCAGATGGAACAAACAAAATCTTCTCATGCACAAGCTGTGACATGTTCAGCTTTTTCACGCAACAATTACTCAATTCCATCTGCCCCAAGTGTAAACAGATCACTCACATGGAACAGAGTATCCAACAACTCGAGGACCGTATTAAGGCCCTTAAGGACATTCAGGAACTCGAGCTGTTCTTAGACACCACACAGCACACTGTCCTAGACACGAAACCAATATCACACTAACATTATGGGGAGGCTCAAGAGGAGATCACCTCAGATGTGGACAACCCTTGGGTTTGGAGGAATATCACCCTTAGAAAGAGACATAGGACCAGGAAGCCTCCTCAGAATACTTCTGCTCAGCTGCAGTTACACAATAGATTCTGAATTCTCACACAACTAACACCTGACCAAGAAACACAACATATTGGGGAAGACCAGAATGGCTTAGATACTGATCAGTGGCTCGTCCTTGATCAGTGTGTGGGGGATAGCCCTGACCAGGACAACACTTCACAACATTCACACTTATACAATCATGCAGGTGTACCATCCCCAACCACAGATCAGGTGCAGCAGGAACACACACAGGAAAATAATAGGCTATTGGACGAATCTCAATGGATTGTCCTTGACAAATGCACCGGGGATGTCGAGGAGGAGGACAACACTTTACACCTACACAGTTCACATCAACAGGATCACTTTTCTGGGGACCTACAAACTAGATTGCACAAAAGGGACCCTGTCAATACTGAAAGTAAACAGGTCTTGGTAGTAAGCGACTCCCTCCTTAGAGGAACGGAAGCCGTCATTTCCAGACCAGATGGGATGGCTCGAGAAATATTTTGCCTACCTGGGATTTATAGTTAGGCTACAATCAAAGAGCATTCAGAACTCCACCAATGATGGAACTGAACCAAACTTGGCACACAGAACTCTCACGACAAACAGAAAATACTAGAAGTTTTTGGGGGGCATTCACCTTGAGTTCTGGAGTTGTGGTTCACCTATATCCAGAGAGTATTGTGGACTCAAACAATGATGGATCTGGACCAAATTTGGCACAAATATTCAATATGCTCAAATGTGAACACTGTTGGAGTTTGGGGGGAAATAGACTTTGACATTTGGAAATCATAGTTGTTGGGATTTTGTTGGGAATCAGCCTGTATTTGTGTTTCATGATGCTCAGGATCATGATGCTCTTGATGTGGGACATGATGAGGGAAATGATGGTGCTGAAGCTGAGGTGCAAGATGGAGATGGTTTGGTCAATGATTTTCATGCAGACAATGACAGAGAGGCCCCAGTGCAAAGGGGAATATTCCTGCTGGGCTTAAGGAAGATGGTTTACTCCCTCTTTCTGTGAGCTCTCAAGATTTGAGTTTGGAAAACAATCTGACACCTGGAAATTTTAATGAGCAGCCAGAAAGGGTTTTGAAAAATAGGTGACTAGAGTTCAGCCAGGATCGACAACAAACTCAATGTTTATGTCACTCCGAAAGGCTTCGTCAGATAAGAGGCAAGAGTGGGGGAAAACGAAACCAATTTTAGGGCTTTGGGATATAAGGTTTGTTTCAAGGGAAAGCCTGTTAGATCAGGCATTGTTTGGAAATCATGTTCATGAGCCGTGGAAATCCTGTCCTTATAGAGATTTTTAGCATTTTGTTGTGGTCTAGTACCTTCTGGATTATCTTTGCAACCTGTTGATCCCTGTCTGGATAAATACTGCCTTGGATTGTTTTTATATCTTTTGTGGGCATTGCTTTGAATTACTGCATTTTACTGATCTTTTACACTTTGAAATTTTCCTATTTTTACAAGCATTTCTTTCTACTGGCTATTTTACTCAGCTTCAATAAAAAGGATTGGTTTGGTGGTGTGTTTTAAAGCCAGAGGGTATTGTTTCTGTTCTGGAGTGCAACAGATTTATAGTTCACCTAGAATAAAAGAGCATTCTGAACTCCACCAACAATAGAATTGGGCCAAACGTCCTACCCAGAACCCCCATGGCTTGAAGGGATTTGCTGGTGTTAGCCTCCCTCCAGCCTCATATGCTATCCCTCGCTCGCACATGCACAATATGCTGCAATGTGCCAAGCACATCTGCTCTCCCCTCCCCATTTGGAGTCTCAGAAACAGCAGAGGAGGGCTTTAGGTGGGGGGATTCGCCCTCTGTTCCCAAAATGGAAGAGAAGGACGGGCGGAGAGATCTTCAGCCTTCTCTGCCAAAAAGGTTCCTAAGGCCACCAGAAATATATGTTTTCTGATGATCTTTGGTGACCCCTCTGAAACCCCCTTACGTGTCCCCCCCTTGGCGGCCCAACCCTTAGGTTGAGAAACACTGACCTAGACCCACCCCATTTTCCAAGAGGAAATCATCGGAGTCCTTAAGGACAGCAAACAAACAGCCTTGTAAATGACTTACCCTTGAAGACCTTGCAAGTCAACGGAGGCAGACGGTGAATATCATGATTTGTGGAGAGGCTTGAGGGATCTGAAATGGAGAGGAAAAGATTGAAGGAGCCACACATCAACTTTTTGCCCTTCCCAAATCAACTTTGGTAACATAAACTCCTATCCTGATGGGCACCACAGAGCCAGGCTTTCAAACTCATGGTAAATAAACTTTAATTGAGTTGATTAATGTGTTTTCTCTCTCAAGAATTTTCTATGTCCTTTATCATGACTTCATAGTCAGCATTGGGTTCTGGAGGATCTAGAGCAGTGGTTCCCAACCTTTGGGCCTCCAGGTGTTTTGAACTTCAGCTCCCAGAAATCCCAGCCAGCTTACCAGCTGTTAGGAACTGTGAGAACTGAAGTTCAAAACACCTGGAGGACTAAAGGTTGGGAATCACGGATCTAGAGATTCCTAGAGAGAATATTTCTCTGGACATTTGTAAGTCCTACAGTGCAAATGGTTTTTTACTGCCAATTTTAAAAATACAGTTTAGAGAAGCAGATGGCGAAACAGAATGGCCTGCTTTAGGACAGCGTGCTTGCTCCATCAATGTTTACATTTGCACAAATGATCAGCCACTGCCAGAAAGGACAGAGAGTTTCATCTATGCTGATGATCGTGCCATCACCACTCAAGCAGGGAGCTTTGAAATGTTTGAACAGAAGCTCTCTGAAGCTTTAGATGCTCTTACTGCCTATGACAGGGAAAACCAGCTGATTCCTAATTCATCTAAAATTCAGACGTCTGCTTTTCACCTTAAGAACGAACAAGCATCTCGAGCTCAGAGGATGACCTGGGAAGGAATCCCACTGGAGCATTGCAGCACACCCAAATACCTGGGAGTTACCCTGGAAGAAGCACTGCTTGAATATCAAGCAGAAAGTGGATGCTAGAAATGATATCATACAAAAACTGACTGGCACAACCTACGGATCACAACCAGATACATTGAAGGCATCTGCCCTTGTGATTTGCTACTCTGCTGCTGAGTACGCATGCCCAGTGTGGAACACATTGCACCACGTTGAAACAAAATATGCGCTCCATGCAGTCATGCTGGCCACATGACCTTGGAGGTGTCTATGATCACCACAGCTCAGAGTCAGACATGACTGGACTTAATGTCAGGGGACAACCTTTACCTATGTGGCTCTTAATGAGACATGCCACATTATCACAGGGTGTTTACACCCTATATCACTGGAGAAGTTCTACCATTTAGTAGGTATTGCACCACCTGACATCTGTCAATAATGAAAGGACCAAGGCAGTGACATATTTGGCCCATTCCCTGTTTAGATATCAGCCAGCACACCAACACCTTAAATCAGGAAATAGCTTCCTAAGATCCGAAGAGATACTCGCAGGAACACTCTGCAAGCAGGAGTCCAAAAGTGGCAGGCTAAAGCTCGGAACCTCAAGCTAAAGTTGGCCCAGGCCTGTTCTTCACTGTAGCTCTAATGCAGTTTGACACCACTATAAGTGTCTTAAAATTTCTGCTATGGAATCCTTGAATGTGTCGTTGGATAAGGCACCAGCACTCTTCGGCAAAGGAAGGCTTGTAAAACTGAAACTCCCACAAAGTTAATGTAATATCAAACTGCACTGTGGATGCACTATTAGAGATGCCAACGGATGCTCGCGTTCCTCACCTAATAGCTGGATGGCTCTGGTCCTGCCGTAGATGTCCACCACAGCCCAAAGCGGAGACGTCACCAAGACCCCATCCAAGAGCAAGAATTGTTCTGGCTCCCCGTTGATGTTGTAAAGAACACGGCCACGGGCGTCCACCCAGAAGCTGACAACGGTGCCTTCCTCACAGTGTTCATCTGGCAAGAGGCAGGCGCGAGTCTTCCCTCGTTGGATCAGGTTTGGGCAGGCGAACGGAGGCAAGTCTTGGGGATTCAGGCGTGAAGGGTCTTCCCAGGTGAAGCCCACCCTCAAGCCACCGTGCCACTTGCCGTCATCCTTGGAGATCCTCAGGGCCACCTTCTCATAAACCCCAACAGGCCGGTTGGAGAAGACGAGGCCATTGCGGAAAGTGGCCACTCGCCTGGCCACACGATGGGACTCATCCATGACGATTTGGGACCCTTTGACGTATGGATGGAAGAAGAGCGGGCCGTAGGGCCCTCGGCGTGAGTTGTCGCAATCTGTTGTGGGACAGGAGAGACTCAGTGAGCGACAGAAATGGAGAAAGGCCGTTGCCGAAAGTGGCCACTAGCCTGGCCATGCAATAGGACTCATCCATGAGGAGCATGTGGACAATTTCAACAAGAAGGAAGAAATCATGTAAATGAACAAAATCTGGCTACCAGTATTAAAAAAATTCTAAAATTATAACAGTAAATGAATAACAAAACTCAAACACAGGGGAACTCCTGACAAGAAACAATCATCAAAGGATTTTCCCAGGCAGTAACAAGCCACATCTAAAAACTACCAGGCCATCAAATGCTAATCAAGGTGGCCAATTGAAACATTCACACCTAGCTCCAACAGACAAGAGTTCTTTCTCCTACCCTGGACCTTCCACAGATATATAAACCCAATTTTCCTAGTTTCCAACAGACCTCACAACCTCTGAGGATGCCTGCCACAGATGCAGGCGAAGCATCAGGAGAGAATGCTTCTAGAACATGGCCAGACAGCCTGAAAAACTTACAACAATCAAGGGGTCGTTTGGTTCCATATTTACTTTAGATCAACTGGTGATGGGAGCTACTAGGTACCACTTTAAGTGAGGTCTAAGACCTAGCAACTAATCTGTATTCCCATTTCTAACCAGGGCCCCATTGCCATGACTGCAAATGACCCTCCGAACCCACCTTAAAATTCTGTTGATGGTGCGGGTGAATGATGCTTCCAGTCCAGTATAAATTCACTGACCAACTTGTAGCAAGAATTAGTAGGTGCCACTTGAAGTTTGGCCTAAGACCTGGTAACTAATCCCTATTTCCATTTCTAATCAGGGCCCTATTGCCATGACTGCAAATGGCTCTCTGAATCCACCTTAAAATCCAGCCAATGGTGTGGGTGAATGATGCTTCCAACCCAGTATAGATTCATTGACCACCTGGCACTGGGAGTTATTAGCTACCACTTTAAACTAGCTTAAAACTTTGTAAGTGATTCTTAATCTAATTTCCAAGCATGGCCCCATTGCTCTGGTTGCAAATGACCCTCTGAACCCACCTTAAAATCCAGTCCAGTATAGATTCACCACAAACTGATACTGAGAGTTACTAGTTGCCACATTAAGCTAGGCTTAAAACCTTGAAACTGATTCATATTGAAATCATGGAGGAATTTAAAAGGGTCTGGCCCTGAAGGAGAGACCCTGGGATCCACCAAAGAGGGCTCGCTACAATGGTGAGCAAAGAGAAGCCCAATTTAAAAGGTTTTTCCTTTATTTTTGTCGTGTCAGGAGCGACGTGAGAAACTGCAAGTCACTTCTGGTGTGAGAGAATTGGCCGTCTGCAAGGACGTTGCCCAGGGGAAGCCCAGATGATTTGATGTTTTTATCATCCTTGTGGGAGGCTTCTCTCATGTCCCCATATGAGGAGCTGGAGCTGATAGAGGGAGCTCATCCGCTTCTCCCCGGATTCGAACCTGCGACCTGTCGGTCTTCAGTCCTGCCGGCACAGGGGTTTAACCCACTCCGCCAAGTTCCCAAAAGAAATCTCACCAAAGTTGAAGGAAGCGCCACCGAGATGATTTTATTGCGATTCAGCTGAAAAGGATGCAAAGCAGCAATATTTCGCCAAGCTGATCATAACATGTGTACAAATAAAAGCCTTTTTTATACAGAAATAGAGTTGCCAGATTTGAATTTCCCATTCCTCGCCCCTCTGCCGGCTCGACGATGATTGGCTGGTCCTCTACAGCTGGGAGGAGGCTTGGCCACCTTCTGAGCACCTGCGCCAATCGCTGGGCTTCTGCCGCCTCGGTGTCCTGACGAATCAGGAGAGAGGGAGGCGGGACAAGAGGGAAACAATGGATTCTTGAGAGGATTATGGAGGTAGGAAATGTCTATGTGGTCAGTGAGTCTTGGGCCGACCCCACCTTAAAGTCCAAGTAATTGTGTAGGTCAACACAAAAGGATGATGCCCAGTAAGGATTTATAACTAGTACTGGGAGTTACTGTTTGCCACATACATACAGCCACATACGGACCCACAAGAATATTGGAAGACAATCATCCTCGGAAAGCGAGGGATCGCCTAACATAACAACATAACATAACACTGTGGATCCCCATGATAGAAAACTCGCGCCATCAGGAGAGGTGGGTAATAAATAAAAAGTGCTGTTCTTGTTGTTTTCAGGAAGCTGCATCCATTGCCACATCCTCTTCCTCTTTGGCTCTTTGAATATGCTATGCCCTTGCTATGTTACTCAAACTCCTTGCAAAACTCAAATTTCCTAATGAATAAACTTGAGTTTTGCAGAAACTTGAAACATTTTGCCTCCTGAGATGATGAACAAAGACAGGCAAGGATTGTTTTGCCCTCCTTATGCCTTAAATAAAGATATTACAAAACTGAAACCTACCAGTGTGTGGTTTCCCAATAAGTCAAAGCTAGGCAAACCAGCTTCTTCCTTTTTTCAAGCATAGATTTAATCTACCTATCTATCTATACACACATAATAAAAGTGAAAAAATGTGCATGTGGCAGAAGTGTCCACTTACACAGATAGCCTCCCTCCTCCACAAACAGGCTATAGTTCCAAGTGCTGAGAAGCCTCCAAAGGCTCTGCTGCCACTGACATTGCAGGTTAGAGCGAGGTCTAGGAACATTTAGTCCAGCCCCTGCCAATGCCCCCCCCCCCGAAACACTACTGCCCACCACCCAAGGAATGTTTTCATTCGGAATCGGGGACAATGTCATTCTAGAGTTGAGGTGTTTCCTCCACCACAGGCAGGCATCCCAGGGTTCCTTTCTCTTTCCATTGGTGTAGAATTTGCACACCTCCTCTTTTCAACTCTGCCTGCATAACAAACAGAGCAAAACTCTGCAGCAACTGAACATACTGGAGGAGTTTGGGGGACTGACTCCACACGATGGAAGTTGTCGTTCACCCTGCATCAAGTCGGAGCACTGTGACCCCCACTGACAATGGACCCGGACCACATTTGGAACCCCCATGACCAACGAAAAATACTGGAGAGGTTTGGGGGAATTTACCTTGATTTATAGACATTGTAGATACTGGGATTTATAGTTCACCTAATGCACTTTGGAGCCCACCAATGGTGGCCTTGGACCTAAATTAGCATACAGAACCTCCATGACAAACACAAAATGCAGGAGGGCTTTGGGGAAAATTCATCTTGATTTATAGGAATTATAGTTCACCTACATTTTCTTGCATTCCTGTAAAATGTATTGTACTCATTGAATCTTTTGTCTCAGCCATATTGTTCTTATGTTCATATACATATACACATGCACACATACATACAGACAGACACACACACATATATATACACAAGCACACACAAGTATACATATACACACATACATGCATACATACACATATATTTACATATATACACATGAATACATACACATACATATAGACATACATACACATATATACACAAGAAATATACAAATATATATACACACATATACATCCATCTATCTATATATTTATGTATATATGTATATATGTGTGTTTGCATATATAGATATAGATATATGTGTGTGTATGTGTACATGTGTATATGTATATGAGTGCATGTGTATATGTAGATATAGTTTATTTTGGGGGGTTTTAAGTCCGTTCTGCTGCCCCTTTTGTGTGTTTTAGGGGTAATGGACACTGACCTGACAGGTGTATTGTGTCCAAATGTGGTGTCAATTCGTCCAGTGGTTTTTTGAGTTATCTTAGTCCCACAAACGAACATTACATTACATATCTATCTATCTATCTATCTATCTATCTATCTATCTATCTATCTATCTATGCAAACACACATATATACACATATACACACATATACACTAAAAATATATATACAGACTGGGCCACAGCAACACATGGCAGGGGACGGCTGGTGTGTGTGTGTGTGTATACACAATTTCCTTAATTTCTGTACAATATTTTCATTGGCTTTGCCTCTTTCTATCCATTATGTATATGTCTTCCATTTATTTTTAACTAGATTAGGTATTGCATATATATGGAGCAATATATATATATTGCTCCAACCCCTGGAATCCAAAACTAGAGTCCAAAAGAGCCACTTTCTCCATCGATATATAGACACTTCTTTCTCATATGGATTCCCGTGCTCTTTTCTGCTTACCGTTTGGGGGACACAGGCACGCTCCCATCACCGGCCGTTTCCTTTTTCCAATGCTACCTTTTCAGTCTCAGGAGAGGTTCTGTTGCTAAGCCACCGAGAAAGGAAGCTCTTATTATATTGCGAGCTTCGCGAGTTAAAAATTAATCATCGGCACTGGTGTGTTTGCAAGCCGTCACGAGATGCACGGCTTCACTGGTGTGCATAGAGGGGATTTCCAATATATATTGTAATGGGAGCCATTGCCACACACAGGCAATGCCAGGAACCTGGCTCTCGGCCCAGTTGAACCAGCTTTTGTTTCACTCTCTCTTTCTGTCTACTGTTGTTTCCACCTTCTTTGCACTGTCCTGGCTTGTTGTTAGGTGAGATCCTGCATCCAAGGACACACCGATGCAATATGCTCAAGGTGCACGAAACGACAAAAATTTGTTTCAATTTCGTTTCAAAAGTATCATTTATTTGTATAACAACCACATACAATCAGAATACAGTGGGTTGCTGTGAGTCTTCCAAGCTGTCTGGCCATGTTCCAGAAGCATTCTCTCCTGATGTTATGCCCACATCTATGGCAGGCATCCTCAGAGGTGGCGCAGTGGGTTAAACCCCTGTGCCGGCACGGCAGGACTGAAGACCGACAGGTCGCAGGTTAGAATCCAGGAGAGGTGAATGAGCTCCCTCTATCAGTTCCAGCTCCTCATGCGGGGACATGAGAGAAGCCTCCCACAAGGATGATAAAAACATCAAATCATCCGGGCATCCCCTGGGCAATGTCCTTGCAGACGGCCAATTCTCTCACACCAGAAGCAACTTGCAGTTTCTCAAGTCGCTCCAGACACGACAAAAAAAAATCCTCAGAGGTTGTGAGGTCTGTTGGAAACAAGGGTGGGAGAAAGAACTCTTGTCTGTTGGAGGCAAGTGTGAATGTTGCAATTGGCCACCTTGATTAGCATTGAATGGCCTTGCAGCTTCAAAGCCTGGTTGCTTCCTGCCTGGGGGGATTCATTCTTGCTCATACTTATATCCACACTTCATTTTCATGTAACTTTTTTTGTCTGCATTTTCTTTTTATACATCCTTCTTTTCAATGACGTTTTATGATTTTTATTAACACTCCACATCCCCACCCATCACCCTTCTCTCTGACCATATATTTACCCTATATCTTTATCTTTAACAATGCACACAATTTCCTTAATTTCTGTACAATATTTTCATTGGCTTTGCCTCTTTCTATCCATTCTGTATATGTCTTCCATTTATTTTTAACTAGCTGTACCCGCCGCCACGCGTTGCTATGGTCAACCTTCCCTCTTCCTCTCCTTCTTTCCCTCCTTCCTTCACTCCCTCTTTCCTTCCTTCCTTCCTTCCTTCCTTCCTTCCTTCCTTCCTTCCTTCCTTCCTTCCCGTCTTTCCTTCCTTCCTTCTCGTCTTTCCTTCTTCCTTCCTTCCTTCCGTCTCTATCTCTTTCTTTCCTTCCCCCTTTTTCTTTATCTTCTGCTGTCTCTATTTCCTTTTTCTTTCTTTCCTTCTTTCCTTCCCTCCCTCTTTCTCTACATCTTCCCCCTTCCTTCGCTCCCTCTTTTCTTGCTTCTTTCCCTTTTTTCTTTGGGGAACAGTCTTGTAATTGTACAAAATGCATAAGGTTTTGGGTGAACTACAACTCACATCATGCCAGGTTAACCCCCAGCAACTCCATCAGTCCTTAAAGTTTGTCATGTTAGGCAACTTTGCTCTAGATACATCATCATCATCATCATCATTATTATTAAACTTTATTTGTACCCCGCTAGCATCTCTCAAAGGACTCGATGCGGATTAGAAAGGCCAAGGCCTCAACACAAGAACAGCAAACAATAACAATACAATACAAAGCAAACTAAAAACATAAGCAGTAACAAAACATTACACCATTACGCAATAAAAACCAGGGCTGGGCCAGTGATGTGTACAGGTTAAAAGTGCTGGGTGTGGCAGGTGGTATGTTGGATTTCTGGGCAAGTGCAATGAGCAGAGAGTCTTAAACTCTAATAAAGTGCTTCTGGGACATAGTGCTGGGGGTTATCCTATTCTGGAAAGGCACATCGGAAGAGCCATGTCTTCAAGTTCTTCCTAAAGACTGCCAACGTGGGTGCTAGTCTAATATCTTTGGGGAGGGTGTTCCAAAGTCGGGGGGGGGGGCKACCACAGAGAAGGCCCTGTCTCTCGTCCCCACCAAACGCGCCTGTGACGCAGGTGYGATCACGAGCAGGGCCTCTCCAGAACGAAGGGAGCACGTGGGTTCATAAACGGAGATGTGYTCACGCAGGTAGACAGGTCCCAAACCYTTTAGGGCTTTGTAGGTAAGCACCTGCACCTTGAATTGGGTTCGGTAGGTAAACAGCAGCCAATGGAGCTCCTTAAACAGGAGGGTTGACCTCTCTCTSTCTAAGGAGCGCCAGTTAACATCCTAGCCGCCCCCCGTTGGACCAGTTGGAATTTCCGAGCATCATTGATGGGGTTCAGTGTGCTCTCTGGCTGTAGAGTAAACTACAACTCCCACTATGGTGAGTTGGTCCCCTCAAATCCCTTCAGTAGGTTGAGTTGGTCATGGGGGTTCTGTATGCCAAGTTTGGTCCAGGTGCATCATCAGTGGAGGTCACTGTTTCTCTGGTTGTGGGTAATCTACAACTCCCAGAAGGGAAGATCAGTTCCCCCCAAAGCCCTTCAATAATCAAATTTTGACATATCAGGCACGTGTGCCAAGTTTGGTCCAGATCCATCGGTGTCTGGGTTCACAGTGCTCTCTGGGTGTAGGTGAACTACAACTCCCCCAAATCAAGGTAAATTTTTCCCAAAGACCTCCACTATTTTTTAGATTTCAGAAAGTTCTGATCATCTACTGATTTTTAGGATTTCCCCCCAATTTTGGCATCTTAGGTGAATCACACTCTTTCAGCCTCAGAAGCTTGAAAAATTTGGGCTATCTGGATAAAACTTGATACACTTGGTGGCCACATTTATGACTGCAAGCATGCCAGATTTCAGAAAGTTCTGGTCATCTACTGATTTTTAGGAATTTTTCCCCAATTTTGGCACCTTGGGTGAGTCACACACTCTCAGCCTCAGAGGCTTGAAAAATTTGGGCTATCTGAATGAAACTTGGCACAATTGGAGGCCACGTGTATGACTGTAAGCACACCAGATTTCAGAAAGTTCTGGTCATCTACTGATTTTTAGGAATCTTTTTCCAATTTTGGCACCTTGGGTGAGTCACACTTTCCCGGCCTCAGAGGCTTGAAAAATGTGGGCTATCTGGATGAAACTTGGCACACTTGGAGGCCAGGTTACCTACTGTAAGCTTGCCAGGGTTCACAAAGTTCTGGGCATCTACTGATTTTTAGGAATTTTTTAAAGTTTTTACATATATATATTTATATTTCTTCTGATTGGCTGACAAGGAAAAAAACAGCTTATCAATCAGGTCAACAGCTTGATGGCTCTGGTCCTTTGTTTCAATAGGGTTTGCTGTTATTATTTATATGTGCTATTAAATTCATACCTTAAAAATTAAAGTAAGGAACAACCTGGCTGTCTAGCTTTTGGCGACATCATAACTGTTGATGCCTGTAAACAGGTTGGTTTCGATTTTAGTTTCTTGGAATTCAAGAGATGTTATCTAAGGATAGCAAACAGTAACAGTTTAAAATGCTTCAAATGGACAGGTTTAGGAGTCAATTTGGTTTTGTAGGAGGTTGGATAAACACAGGAAAAGTACTGCATCTCAACAAAGCCAGGGAAGGAGAGGTGCAGCATGAGATGCAGACTTCAGCTTCCTCAAAACAACAGATTCCTCTCCATATAAAGCAGGGATCTATTGTGGGGCTCAATACAGTGGCAAATAATGATTCCCAGTGCAGTTGGTCTGCGAATCCCTACCGGACTGGAAGCATCATCCTTCTGTGTCCCATTCACTTGCACCACTGAATGGATTTTAAGTGGGTTTTGGAGGGTCATTTGTCGTCATTGCAATGGAGCCACAATTAGAAATCATAGAATCATAGAATCAAAGAGTTGGAAGAGACCTCATGGGCCATCCAGTCCAACCCCCTGCCAAGAAGCAGGAATATTGCACTCAAATCACCCCTGACAGATGGCCATCCAGCCTCTGTTTAAAAGCTTCCAAAGGAGCCTCCACCACACTCCGGGGCAGAGAGTTCCACTGCTGAACGGTTCTCACAGTCAGGAAGTGGGAATATGAAGCAATTAGAACAGTGTTTCTCAACCTTCCTAATGCCATGATCCCTTAATACAGTTTCTCCTGTTGTGGTGACCCCCAACCATAACATTATTTTAATTGCTACTTCATAACTGTAATTTATGCAAATATTCATGCAAATATCTGATATGCAGGATGTATTTTCATTCACTGGACCAAATTTGGCACAAATACCCGATATACCCACATTTGAATTCTGGTGGGGTTTGGGCGGGGGTTGGTGGTGGTGTTGATTTTGTCATTTGTAGTTGCTGGGATTTATAGTTCACCTACAATCAAAGAGCATTCTGAACTTCACCAACGAAGGAATTAAATCAAACTTGGCACAGAGAACTCCCATGACCAACAGAAAATACTGGAAGGGTTTGGTGGGCATTGTTGGGGTTCAGCCTGATCTGTGTGAACCTGAGCCCCAGCCCCAATCTCTGTGTGAACCTGATTCTCTGATTGTATTTCCAACTGAACATGTATCTCTCCCTGACAGTGTTGAAACTGTTGTTGATGTTGAGGTCAGTGGCGAGGAAAGTGAAACTGAACAGCCGGATGAAAATGTTTTGGAATCCAGCCGTGATAGCTCTCCACCTGGGTTTTTTAATGAGGACCGAAGGGAACAGATAGCTAGAGACAGGAAGTGATTCACAGTTTCTACGAAGGTCAAATAGATTACAGGAGAGACAGGCCCAGGCTTCAAAGTCAAGGGGCGTTTCAAGGAATAGTTTCTTTGGTTTAAGGGGCCTCCTTCCGGGTGTCTCGTTAGATCAAGCAACGTTTTGGACTGCAGCTGTGCCTTGGCAGAATTCCTGTGTTCCATGGCCGGTAATCCCAGAGGCTTCTAGTTTTCAAGTACCTGGTTAGCGAGAGGCTAACAGGTTCCTGGTTCTTGTATGTGGTTTTTGGAATTTTGCTC